GTGAGGAGAGGGTAACAGCTGATGCTTGGAAGGTGCATGTGAAGATGTAATCACCTGAGTTAAGACAGCAACAGATTTTTGGTGCAGTGTCTGTGATACACGAGGAATGATAGTACGTTTTCTTTGTTACTGTAACTTGCGAGGAAATTTAGCAGAGCAGTATCATTTTAAAAAAAGAAAAAAAAAAAGGCACACAGAATCATTCATGGTAAATGTATCTGTAATTTTCCTCTCTCTTTTTTAGTGTTACCTGTTCCACATGTACGTGGGTGTAAGAGCTGGTGGTGGCATTGGAGATGAAATTGAGGATCCTGCTGGAGACCCTTACGAAATGTATCGAATTGTCTTTGACATCACATTTTTCTTCTTTGTCATCGTTATCCTACTGGCCATTATTCAAGGTACTGTCACTTACCTTAGTAGAGACTTCACATTTTGTTTACTTAAATTCTGCAATGTATTTAAACCATATTTGTGTTTGAGGTAAATTTAGCAGTGTTGCTATAAAGACTTATTTCTGAGCTGGTAAAATAATTAATTCTGAAAGTAATAATTTTATACTTAATTGATAAATAATGCATTATCCCAAGTCCTACACAAAGACAGAGCACAAGAAACATAAACACTGTAACCCAGATAAGTTATGAACACTGACAATGACCCAGCAACGACACAGCTGGTGTGGGATCACTGTTCTTCCTGCAATAACCATTTAAACTTGGGGACCCTTGCTGTAGCCACTCTTCAGACCTTTAGTTTAGAACCACCAGAGCTGGCTGGGGCATGGAGACTTTCCCCTGGGAAAGGTGAAGTGACATGGAGAGAGTCACAGAGGCCACATACCCATTTGCTCCCTTCTTTAGAGGATGATTTGCAGTTTTAATTGGTTTGCAGCTGTGGTTTACAGAGAATGAGACCTCTCTTCAGTGACCATCAGTATCCAACGCTCATTGTATAAACTGACCTAAGGCTGTTAGGAAAAAGCCACTGGTTTATGGCAATCTGGTGGTGAAAAAAAGGTGGTCTTAGTGCTAGGAGTGCAGCATAAACAAATGTTAGCTGTCTGGAAATTGATAGATGGTTAACTTGAATTGTTCAACCTGGACATAAGTACACTGAACTCCAAAGACAGTGGAGGATGCCTGACAGACATTACATGAAATACGAATATTGCCAAGTACTGAAGTGTTGCTACTTTTCCATTGGAAACAGGTCTGATTATTGACGCTTTTGGTGAATTAAGAGACCAGCAAGAACAAGTGAGAGAAGATATGGAGGTATGAGTAAGCACACTATGTTTTTCATTACTCTTATTCACCTAGATTGTTACCAGTTAAAACAGTGTCTTTGAGTTAAAATTCATTTGTAACCACTACTTGTGTTTCCAGACCAAATGTTTTATTTGTGGAATCGGCAATGACTATTTTGATACAACCCCACATGGCTTTGAAACACACACTTTGCAAGAACACAACTTGGCAAACTATCTGTAAGTATATTCTACTACAGGAATTATGATAGAGAGACCTTTCAGCTCCAGAGTAATTCAGGTGCACACATTCCTGACAGTCCTAATAGAGAATACTGGAGACCTGAGGAATATTTCCATGCCTTTCTGGTCTCCCCTCCTCTACTCCACACTGCTGATGATCTTTGAAGTGCTCCCCTTACCTATGAGACCTGAAGGCACACCAAGTCCTTATTCCTCTGGAAGGAAACCCAGATATGTGGAATGGTAGGGAACAACAGTTTAATAAATTGCTTTAGTTTGGAAGTTTTGGCTGTGACTTCTGGGGTCTTGGTAACCATTGAAAATTAGCCTCAATTTGACAAAAAGAAAACCCAAACCAAAACATCAAAACAAACACATTAAAAAAAGCAATTATGATAGGCTACAAAAAATAATGTATGCGTCGATCCTCTAGTTCTTTACTGACAGTGCAGCTGAAACCTCGAAGCACTCAGGAGTTGTATGTGTTTAGCCTATTGCCCAGACTCCCAAGACAGTGATCTTCTGCTCCTTTCATTAGTAACTACAGAGCAGATCAAAGAGGATCTTTAAAAAGTTAATTTGGTGGCATTAATTACTCATGCAACAATGATAATTATATGAGCATGGTGCCAGCAGAACCAAAAGAGCTGAACTGGTGGTATTTTATAGAAGTCTGGCTTTGGAATACTGCATCTGAACTTTTTTAATTAAAAAAAAAAAAAAAAGTGCCTCCTGGAGTGGTAGCCACATTATTCCTTGCATAGCAACTGACACTGCAAATCAATGCACGTTACTTTTATGAGGCAAATTTCCATTAACAACATCCAGAGTTTTACCAGTCTACAACCTCCAAGCTTTTCTTACTCTATTGAATTGCTTAATTGGTGTATGGGAACCTGTCATTCACAGTAAGTTAAAAATGGCCATTTCCTTAATATCAGAACATATAGTGAGCAATCTTTCTAACCAGGTTGCCCTTCAATTAGACAAACGCTAAAATCAGTGTGCAGTCCTTTCTTTACAATGGAAGCACAGACCAAGTTCAAGTCCAAATGGACTGCATCAAAAGTGGCTAACCAAGCGTTGCGTTACCTATGACCAGAGCATTGTTAGTAGTTAGTTCAAGCTCTTCACATTTGAGTGAGCACAGGTTTCTGAGATGATAGGCTCAGCTTATGCGTTGTATGGCATGAGCGTTTGGAAATCTCGTTGCAGCTGAGTATTTGCCAGACTTCTACTTTCTTGGATAGTAGCAATATTAACTTCTTCCAAGGTGAGAGATGGAGCATCTGTGTATAGTAGTTGGCATATGCCTAATTCAGGTATGGCTCCTAGCACTGAAATAAGAAAATGCTACACCATGCTTTTCCACTTGTTCAGATTTTACATCTGTTAGCACTTCCACGGGGGAAGTGCTGGAGGATAAATAGAATTTTTCTCCTTTCACGTAAGCAGTTTAGATGCCTGGCAGTATCAGTACGTTGCTGGTTGGCACACTCTCCTTCACATGCCCCAGTCTAGGAAAGTTTAGGCAGAGATGTTCTGTTTTCTACATTAATACCCATTTTATGTGCTTGTTTCAGGTTCTTCTTAATGTATCTCATTAATAAGGATGAAACTGAGCATACTGGCCAGGTGAGTAGAAAATAAAGCTTAATGTTTTTTTTCTTATCTTTCAACGTTTTTATCTTGTTCAGCCTTGTAGCTGTGTACCACCAGGTGGAACTGATGTACCACCAAGGAGTGTGGAGATGATGCCACCCTTCCCCAGAGGCTTCTGCAAGTGAAAGAAAAGGAAGGGTTAAAAAAAAGGAGGTAGTGGGCTGCAGCAGGGTGCTATTCCACGCAGCTCTGAACTCTGTCAAAGTCACTTTCAGTAATCTGTCCTCTCATCTCTGAAATGAAACCCTGAAATAGACCAGTTGTAGTTTATTCCCAAAAGATTAAGTAGTTAAGCTACTGTAGTTATAGTCTAAATCCATATATATGTATATATAGATACGGATACGTGTAGGTATGTTTAGTGTTGTTAGGCCCTAAACGTAAATAAATAAGAAAATAAAGAGAATTTAATTATATCTCAAATAAGAAGCTCTTATGCAAACACTACAAACGTACCTTCTTACACTTCCATGTTTTCCAGGCAAAGTAAAACACATTTTATATTAACAGATTATGTACAGCTTTTCTCCAATATAACGAATTATAATGACATAACTATAACTAATATAAATATTTCTAATAGGGCTTAAATTTCAGTAGTACCGAATCAAGAAAAGTACAGAACAATACTTTTACAAATGTTCTCGAGTTATGATCTTTGAGTTTCAGTGTGTTCACAATTCGACTCCGCGGCAATGGGCACAATACCTGGTTATTGTTAAAAGTTTATCTAGAGCACTAACTGCAAGGTGTCTGTTAAAATAAATACTCTTTATCCTTTCCAGGAGTCATTTGTGTGGAAGATGTACCAGGAAAGATGTTGGGACTTTTTCCCAGCAGGGGACTGCTTCCGGAAACAGTATGAGGATCAGCTTGGCTAATATCACAAAAAGCAATTATTTATTCATGAACTGTTAAGATCCAGTATACAGAAAAAGTCTTTTTCTTTTCATGGTGTAATTTCACAGCTTGTATTTGCTTTAAATGTCTTTAAACTTCAAGACACACATAAAATTTGACACTTTCATAGGCTTTTTGAACTGACCACATTTGAAACAGGTCTTTTGTTGGAATTCTAATTAGAAAAGAGAAAACTATGCCAGATTAACTCAAGCCTTCCAGTTCAAATGTGGTCTAAAATTACAACTTTTAACCACATCGTTAACCTAATGTTTGGCAGTACAGCTTGAAAGGGCTAAAAGGTGTCTTAATTGCACAACATGTGACATTTTAGAACTTGAACATTAGAGGCCATGCCTCAGAAAAAATATTTTAACTGCTGTCCAGTTTCCCCCCCAGTATTTGCTAGTGAATGTATTCGGATACAGCTTGAGAAGCTTTAAGCAGATAAAAAGAAAACCTTTTCAAACACTTCGTTGACCTTGAAACATTAAGTGCCTTAAAACCTCTGTAGACATAGCTATGCAAACTTTTTATTTCTGTTAGTGTTCTAGATGAACAGATCCATTAACTGTATTGCTTTTCTGTCTTTCTGTATGAAATTGCACTTGAAGTTTGTTTATATACTACCTTCAAATAACAGCTGATTAGGGGTTGCTGTTAAGAAGACATACACTGTATCAAAATGAATACAATTTAAATCTTAGGCCAAAATACAACAATGCTCTATGGTCACCTGCAAGTAGAAGCTGCTAGGATTATGCATTTTTTTTTTTTTCTTCTAATATAAAGTGCCCACTGCAATAAAATATTAGAAACCAATTCTTACCTTTGCTGTCTTCTTTCTCATTTTTCTACAGTAGGGAGATGTGGCATGAGGATGGTGACTAAAACCACACGTTATTCATTGTTCATTCGTAGCTTTATTTTGAGCGCTACACAGAGCAAGTACAGGCTGAAACAACAATTCTCTCAGGGTGCTGTAGCCTGCATCTTTAGCAAAGAAATTACTAATTGCATCACAAATTTTAGACCTTTCTAAGAATAGTCTTAGACAAATTTCAATCACATCTAAACTAATTGGTTGCACAGAATTTTAGGTGCCAGCAAAGAAAACTGGGCATTTGGCATACCGAACAAAAAGTGACACAGATAAAGGAAGATTCAACTTTCTACTTAACGTTTGCTATATTCAATTATTCACACAAGCAAATTGGAGCTTCAGGAAATCATGCTGTCCAGCCAGTCTTCGAGCTCTTCCTCAGTAACATTTTTAGACGTACTTTGCTGTTGCTGTGACGCTGTACTCTTCTCTTCAGGCACATCTAGTTTTAAAGGGTCTAAAAAGTGAAAAGAACAGACTTGAAAATCTGGAAACAATTCCATCCCAGCATTTTGCTTTTTAATGCGCAACTGATTCCTCCATTTAAGCACAATCTCTCTTTCTTGAAGAATAGCCAGTCATGTTCCAAAAATAGAAGCAACTGAAGTTCTCTAGCAATACTTTTATATCTTTTATATGTATATCATCTCATAAGACCAATGCTGTTCTGCAGAAGAATTTCTCTTAATGCTCAAAATGAACTGACAGTGGTGAAACTTTAGTTCAGGGGGGAGTTAAAATTGAAAAGGAACAAATGGGTGACAAGATAGCTCCAGACAAATGACATGCAGCATGACAAGAGGGGAGGACAGCCAATACCGCTGACTGGCTAATCAAGAGTTCAAAAACCTCACCAAAACAGAGAGCAATGGAAATTAAAAAAAGATGCTGGGGAAAAGAGAAATCTTACCCTTCTCCTTACAATCCATTTTCAACTCTTTCTCAGTGGATAGGCTGTAGGATAATGCACCTGACACAGGTCTCTCTTTTGTGTCAATGGGAGCATCTAGATTAAGGAGAAGATCTAGTTCTTCATCCAAATGGTCAGTCTCTTGCTTTGATGGTGGATGGGCTCTCTGAAATGGCTCTGCTGCACTTGCCCTAGGACCGTTTTTACTTCCAGGCTCTGATGAAGTAACAGAATCACCAACGGGATGGGAGACTAACACCGATTCACTTTGAGCCAGAGACTGTCGGAACAGAAGCTCTCTCCTCTTGCAGTCTTCAGTAATTTTAGGTTTCAACTGTGGAAGCTCTACAGGTGTTGATGCCTAAGAGTACAAAGGAAAGGACTTGAGTCTTTCTAATTATTAACTCAATTTTTACTGTTGGATTGTAATCCATGCTTCCTGCATTTGATCACTTATAGTACAATGAATTTCAAGCAGAATTTAATTCAGAAATAAAAAGTAAACTAAAGTTATCTTGATGATACTTTTACAGAAGCAACTACAAAATACAAAGTGCTTTTATGCCTTGTTACGGAATATCAGATTGTATGCTAAATCAGGAAGTTCCATTGTTTCACAAGTACTTCACGGAGAGTTACTTTTCTGTACTTCTTCTGTCATGAAATCCCATCAATACTCGGAATTTTGGAATGACTGAAGTCAGAATTTGGCTAGAAACAGTATCCCATATTAGGCCTTCCCTCCAAAATTCCAGTCTTGAAACTAAACCGTGCTACAGGTCACTGAAATTCATTTAGCAAAAGTTATAGTACAAAGCTGTATATTTTGACAAATGAAATCAAATAGCAAAATGAGAAATGGCAACTCATTATTTAACTGTGGAACACAGATTCTGCTTTTATCAGGATACCCGAGCATTAGTAACACTGCAGCATATCTGATGACCACATCACTGGTCAGAATGACAAGACAAAGATTAAATGTCATAACGCATACTTTATAATCCTGATAAAGACTGTGACTAGAACTCTTAACAAGAAAACTGTATTTGAAAGTAACATTTATTTGCAGATTCCCTTAGATATCTCATCTGCAGACACTCCCTTATAGAGGAGCACAGTTGTGTCAGTCACAGAAACGCCTCATGCAACTCCGAACAGAAGTAAAATTTCTTCTGTAAGGGTCATGTTTATTCTTCCTTGCTTGAGCAGATGGATTTTAATTTTTTTATTTTTATTTTTATTTTTTTTTTAAGAATTTTGTTTTTATCTTTAAGTCTCGGCCTTACATGATTGTTTTCTTTTTCGCAGCCTGAAGAAACATTTTTCCTAATACTCTGTTGCTTTTTTTCACCAGAGTATAAACGACATTTTCTTCACCTGTCTGATTGACAGTTTTACCTGGTCTAACACAGATGTAACTTGATTCATGGAATAAACACCTATGTTTAATATTAGTTATGTAAAAGAGTAAATTACAGTTAAAATAATTAACAGTAAAGAATGTGAAAGCACTTTCAAAATTTCGGTGCGAGCTTTTAACAGCTGCTAACAAGAGAAGCAAATGAAAAACAGTGCAATCATTCCATGTCAAGCACTCCGATACCTGGCTTCAACTCTCATGTGCTGCACATGGAAGCATTTTGCTTAAAGCCAACAAAGCATTAAAATGTGCTGATAGAGGGGAATCCCACATTACACGCCATTTGACATGCCAGTCTCAAGACATCTATTTACTTCTCAAATACATTCTACTTATGTTTGAAGACCAAGCGTAAAGTAAGCATTCTTGGATAGATTGTTTCACTTAAAATATTTGCATTTTCTGGTGAAAATTCACAGCATTACCTGCACAAGTTCAGCAGCTACATTCAACCTCAGATGTAGAGGCAATTCCTGAAGGGCTTGGACCAAAGACTGGCAGTCGACAGAAAGTGCAGATAACTGAAATGTAATTCAAGACAGCATTAAAAAAAAAAGAACAAAAAAATACAAAGTGAAAAACAATCTAATGAAATACAGGAATTCATAGCTTTAAATTACACATGGACAGAGCAGTTTGGCTAAATTACCATATAAACACCTACAATGCAAATAATGTCAAAGGTTTAAAAACAAGGTATAAATGGAATGCTCTTTAGGCAATGCCTTGAGAATCCAAACTGGGAAACAGTCTGCAAGTTGACAATGGCATAAGAGGCTTTTCCAACATCTTTTAATCTGTGAGGCTTTCTATGCAGCGGGAATCGCCATTCTTTAATGAGTCGCTACTATTTTCTGAGCAATCAAACCATGAAACTTGTGTGTGGCTCTACTGTTTTCAGTGCCTAAATAACGTCACCCTTTTTTATACTTCCCCGTCTTCTAAAATGCTGTTTCGATGCTTACAAAAGTAACAAACTATAGTTACATACACTTCTAAAATTATATTCACAATATTCAAGAAAGATACTTATTGCTGCCTAGTTGCTTAAAAGGTGGAACTGTCACATATTAACATGCAAGTATTGAGGTTTCTTTTTTCTTGACCCCTGGGTTTTTTGGCTGTAAATTATTCAAAACAAATTTACACAAAATGGACCAGCAAAATTTGATGTTTTTACAGAATACCTGGGATTTTGGTAGACTTAAACAGATTTTGAGCTCACAGCACAGCAGAACATTCTGAGCATGTTCACCATCGATGAAGAAGATTATTTGATATCCATCGCAAATTTTAAAATCTGACAACAAAACACTTACTTAGTTACATTCAGTCTATACTCTCATTTTCATGGAAGCAGAGAAACTGCTTCTAAGTCTAGCTTAAAGAGACAAAAATTTGTCCCTTTCAATATGGTATACACAGACATTTAGAAGTCCAACAGGATGGCTTTGGACACCTGCACACACAGCAAAAATTAACATCAAAGATACAGTGTGTTCCAACAGCATATTTACAAGGGAATTTTTTTTTTTTACATGGGAATTTTCTTTTCAGGGAAAAAGAAAGATGGGCCAGAAACAAAAAGGAGATAACAGGCTGAAGACCAGAGACTGTGAAAAATTAGGTAACGCTATGAAACCATCTGGGCCAGGATTCTGGACTAAAATAAGAAATCCAAGGAAGGGTAATGGTGACTAGCGCAGCAAACTATTTCAAACTGACATAAGAACACTGACAGACAGGAAACAGGTTGAAACAACAAATTTGGATGGGGCAGGACGAATGACTACAGTTTGGTAGGGACAGAGGCAGAAGAACGTGCCCACCATCGCACACTTTGCAATGAGTGGGAGCGTGGGACTGGCTCCAGAACTGTGCAGTCTCATCACTTTGGCAGCCTAAAGAATATTTGTGAAAACCACTGGCAACCTGCAACTTCACCCTGCTCACAACAGCTTTAGCCATGCAGGAAGTAATTAATGTGTTCAAATCACCTAAATGTTATAATGACAAGCCTATGAGGAAATTACAAAGAAATTAATATTCTAGATACTGACATCTTGCGCACTAGAACAAATATGTGATTGTTTAAACAAATGCTGCACTTGGTTTTATTTCTTCATTTTAATTTGACTTTGCAACTTTAATGTACCTTTAAATATCACTTCCCAGGGAATAATTATTGTCAATATTTTAGGAAATAAATAATAGCAAACTTTTAAAGTTGGAATATACATGTATGTTTCAAGAAACACTCAAGCACAGTTTCACAGCAATTTTAAGAAAAACGTGGAAGACAAAAGCATTTATCTTGCAACTGTTTAGGTGACTTACATGAGGAAGACAGCCTCAGAGATTAAGACAGTTTCCAGTATCCTGATATAGAAAACAGCAGGCTCCTGTTGCCTTGCACCTTTTTATTCAAGCATAAAGAATCCACATGCAAACAGCCTAAAACCCTGCTGGTTCCACAGTCATTTTGAGGCTGAAGTTTCAAGCAGAGGATATGAACTGTTAATTTGAAAGAACTAGAACAAGCTTCATGGTCAAATATATGAATATACTCACATAGGTTTTGTTACAGTCATTTTAGTAAACTGATTTTCTCTTGAATACTGCTGAAAAAGGAAAGCTGACTTCTAATGTCAGTAAAGCAAAGTGACAGTGACAGTTCCACATTTTCCCTTCGCTGGATAGATTTGCTTGTTCCTTTCTTCCGTTACTTAAAACCCTAGCCTGCTGCTTTGATTAGTCTTCAATAAGGGGGGGAAAAAAAAAGACCCAAGAAGGGCTTCCAGCTTCAGAGACAAATTAATAAAAATATACAGAATAAAGAGTGCTATTATTGTATTAAACAATTTGTTGCAGAAAACAAAACTGCCTAGGTATTCTGTGCCAAGCGATTGTCCATACAAACTCATCTGTATGATAATTGTTACCTGCTTATGGCATGTGCTTTCTCTATCCCATTCCTTCTCATCAGCAAATCGAAACTGTGTAAAGGAATCTCCTACAAAAAAGAAATTAAAAAAATTTATTTTTCAAAAAAATAACAAGTGCTCTCCAAAGTTCACAACCCTACAGAAATAAATTCAATCAATACATGTCCCATATTCAACAAATTTGCATTTAATTTTAATACTGTTTGCATTCACAATATTAAACTTCTTTAAGCCAAAGTTCTATAGAAAGATCTTTTAATCTCTTACTTGCAGAACAGTACTGAAAAAGATGCAACAAATTCAAAACTGATCCTGAGAACTGGAGATCACCTATAAATCACGAGGGTTTAGCCCAGCAGTTAGTTGATAAGCAACTGCTCATTCCTTCCCAACTTCTAATAGAGAAGGAATGCGCTAGAAGTTTTCAATGGCATCACCAACAAGTGAGTATCCGACTTCCATGTGGCTCTCAATAGCCTGCCATTCATGCCTTTGACAGTTCCTGAATCAAACCCTTAATCCCGCATACAAAATCTGAACACAGAATGTGCTGTCCCCAAAACTGGCTGGTTTTCCATTGTCTGCCTGTGCCGAAACATAGGGGAGCTCAGCCTTTCAGCAATTTTACTGAATAGTGCAACCATCAGCCAGCTTCTGTTTTGCAAACAGAATGAATAAGCAGCAAAATGGCATAGTAATTGGCATATTTCTTTGCCAAACAATAAAAAAAGGGAGACCTAGCCACCTCCCAGCTGGAATGTGAAATTTATTGGCCATGGGAGTTTTTTGTTATCTCCAGAGTGCATTTCTAACTCATTGAATTTCGTGGATGGTCACGTGCAGCGTACTCATATCCTAATCACACTGTGTACCGAGCACGTCCATCATTGTCATCTTCAGAACTGTTCTAACAAGAAAGTTATCTTCTCAGAGGAGTATTTAATTGATATTTATGACCATTACCATGTCCGGATTGAATTTGCCTCTCCTCATTTTCATTAGGTTTACCCAACATTGTTCAGCATTACTGGGCATTACTATTTTGCCTGTATTACTGTTTTGAAAACAACCAGTGTCAAACGGTACAAGTGCAAATAATTAAAATTGAGCACTGAAATTAACATTTAGATATCTAAGAAGCAGCCTAATTTTTTAAATGTTTAGTTCATATAATTCACAAACACCAGGTTCCATGACGGCTAGGTATGCTAGGTTTGCTCAGCAATATCCTGTCTTTACAGATCTGTCTGCAGATGCAAATACTTAACCTGAGCACTCACAGCTGACACAGGTGCCTTGCTCTTCACTGCACACAGCACAACCGTAAATAAATCCCTCTGTTTCTAAATATCTAGAATACTGCCAATAAGTAATAACTAATGCTGAAAATTAAAGAAATCCAAATTCATTCTTCAGTCTCATGATTTTAAAATGGATAAGTAAATGTGCAAATTATGTTTTAGCGGCTCATATTTTAAAGGCTCAATTTAGTTACATATGTAAAGAAGTTTTATTCAAAAATAATTAAACCAAGCAATCCTCAAAATCTTCATACCATTAGAACGCAGGCATGAGTATTTTCTTCCAATAACCCCCAAGACTCCTTCAGCTATTTCTCACCGTGTGTCACAGAGGAAATAAAGAGTTTTCTCTGCTCCTCTTTAAAGAAGTAAAATTAAACTAAAGGATTAGTCCAATGCTTTCAGTATCTGAGAATGACTTTACATCTACATTTACATTCCTACTTCATCAGGAGAATCCACTGGGATCAAGAACTGGTTTATGATTCTCCACACTCACAAAGTTGGTAATAACAGATCCTCAGCTTCATGTTGCATGGCTGAATAAAAGAGCATGACTTAAACTGTAGTTTAACTAGGCTCTTAAATAAGTTAACAAAGCATGCCTTTCAAATGGAAAAGCAATAACTACAATTCACAGTAGCACATTTAATGCAAATTAGGGTAATGAGAATGTTGGTCTAACCAATTATCATTTCACAAATTCCTTTACCCTGAAAATAACTTCCTTTTGTGCCATGAATACTAATCAAATGTCTTGCAATGACTCCGAGATCCTTCCAACATAAAAAAATACTTTTCTTCATGTGAACAGTTTTTATATTACTTACAAATATCACTTGGCCTTCAAATACAGAGTAGCTAAAAATAACGCATTCAAGTAAACCTCACACACTGTCTTCGGTAACATTCATAACAAGCCTGAATATTCTTTACTGTATAAAATGTAACTTTATTATGAAAGAACAGCAGATCTAAACCACCATGCTTCCCTACCACTTGAATATATTTTAAAGATAAATCAATTGATTTAAATAGACCACATTTCAGTCTCATCAGCCCAATTATCTCTTCATACGAATGTTCACTGAACAGCAGTCAAAGAAATCCTACCTGTAATCTGTAATAAACATTTCCCAATCTGTGAAATTATATGAGTCTAAAAGTTGAAAAAAATTAAGAAAAATGGTTTTCAGTAGGAAAACTGACTTATCAGTGGAATGATTTTGTTCATTTTAACTCTCTAATTCATTAAAAACAAAAGACATAAAACGTCACTGAAGATGAAGGAAAAATATTCTGTAGTCTTAGCAATATTCAAATTGGGGGGGACGACAAACAATGTCACAGGATCCTTCCAAGACTGCCATGACTGTAAAGAAGCACTGCAAGGGCAAATACAAGACTCTAAACCCATTTTTTTTTAATCAGAATTTACCTTCTGTATAAGCACCAATGATTTTGATAAACTTATTTGGGGTTTTCCAACCTTTGTTCATCTCCCATTTATTTTATTTTGGGAATTCAAACCTCTGCCAGCTAAATAATATGCAATGCATTTATGACAGCAGTATGCAGCTGAACCAAATAAACCCCAACAGAAAACTACAACTTAGCTACACTTGGGAAATTAAAAGTGAGACCTAAAATATCTCAGAAAGCACCCTCCATCTACTACACCAGTCAAAGTTCTTCCTGAGTTACTAAATTGAGAAGATTGTTTCCACAGAAAGTCCATCTTTAGAATAGATTTTAAGCAGTTTTGAAAGTATAACTTGCAAGGGATCCCTTTCTGTCTATATTGATCCCCAATTCATCACTATTTCAGAAGGATATAATATCAAAGCAAGCTACCTGCCTGTTCCACCAGTCTTCTTCATGGGTTGCAGTAATGCAGGAGGAAAACAAATGTTATTTTTAAGGTGAAAAAAGAACCAGATCCTCCAATCTAACACTTTTCTGCAGGGAAAAACAATCTGAAGTTTACACATGAATGACGCTTGCAACCTTATCCAATGTTCATATAAGACTGACCAACTCTCCTGAGGAGTCAGGGCAAAGATAAGCAACATATTCTTTCCCTTTAAGTAGTGCAAGACTTCACATAGAAGGTCCAAGGGAAGACAAAATCTACAGATCAAAGAAAAGGTGGGCAGCTACTAAGTCACTAATTTTGAGCTAACTTACAAGCACAAAGAGAAAACTAAAGCTTACCAGTCTTTTGGGATGCACTAGGTACGAGTGAATCTTTCTCAAACTGAATGAAAAAACATGAGGCAGAACTCCCATCCATCCATGCCATGGCTTGCTCTACATTAGAAGATTTTGGAAACAACAAGAACCACAGACTGGGTGCTTTGGAACATCATCAGAATGAAAGGATGTCTTTTCTCCTTACACAGTGTTTCCACATAGTGCAATTTTTATACAGGCATATTTTATATATATATTTATATATATTAATTGTCTATCTACAATTAATGCTCATTTTATATAAAGATATCTTTGGATAAACACTACTGAAGATTTCCTTTTATAGGACAACTAATGGTTTTCCTTTTTTTCTCCTACAAAAGGAGACTTACATATATATAAATTCATAATAAATATTCTTCCAACCCTAGGAAACATATGTTCTGCAAAGGTTTTATATGAATAATTTTATACACATCATAAACAGGTAATCATCCAGATACGATAATTTTCCCACAAAGAGGTAGCATATAATACTGAGAAACAGATTTCTGGAAGACACAAAGCTTCCAAAAGACTCATCATGGCAGTTCTAATAACATCACTAATTTCTATTTCTGCCTTTTTAATTTCTCTACCTCAGCAGAGTACACACTGTTAACTATTATCTTTTACTATGACTAAGGCTGCAATGTGCTACTTATGCAATTTGCCACGAGCATAGATTGAGTAATAGCAATTTTCAGAATGTGAGAATACAAAAACAACAGAGAAAGACCCTGTAAGAACTCCACATCTATTAATTTTCTTCAGATGACTATTAAGATCAGTAATATTGCAAGTCACGGCAAAGTCTGTCTTATCAAGAACGCGACGGGTATTTCCAAACAACATTCCTCTCACCACAAATACTTTAGCACAGCCTACATTTTTCCCTGGTTCTGCTGCTCACCAGTAGGTTGCACATCCACCTATTACAAACTCCAAAAGGCTTATGCAACAGCTCAGCATAAAAATTCTAACTACCAGCAGAATACATATCTCAAAGAAAGTATTTTAAAAAACATTCTTCTACTGTTACCAGTAGAAGCTCTTGAGCTCTGTGCAAACATACTGATGTCAAGGATATTTGTAGCCTGCACTGCAAACTACAAAGCATATTTGTAACCAGATTCAAAAAGAACAGTATTATAAATGAATTCCCTGGCATGACTACGCAGTACTGCGAGTCACAATATAAAAAATATATATGTGAATTTGACCAAGCAGCAGGATCATCAGATCTTCTCAAAATCATGATCTTCTCAAAATATAACGTGTCGCAGATAAAGCAGTAAAAAGGAAGGATCTTTGGAAACCAGTGCTGCTTCTGGAACAAAGAGTGTCTATTCAGGAAGAACAGAACTAATTTAACATATAGAGGAACAGCAGCCTATTGAAATCAAGGTCAGATGCCAGTTTTTCACATGAAGCCAACAAGTGCCAAAGAACACAATGGTTTTAAAAAAACAACAACAAAAAAACCCAACCCCCCCAAATTCTCTTTTTTTATTAAAAGCTAAAGTAGAGGTTAG